GAAAAGCAAGTTGACAGCTTGCTAAAGGAGACCCAAAAAATACTGAAGAAAATAACACCTTAAAAAATAGCCTAACCGAAATGGCAAAAGACGTCCAAAAAGGCAATGAAGAAAAGAATGCCCTAAAGAGCAGAACTGGCCAAATGGAAAAGGAAGTCCAAAAGATTACTGAAGAAAATACTTCCTTAAAAATTAGAATGGGGCAATTGGAAGCTAGTGACTTTATGAGAAATCAAGACACTGTAAAACAAATCCAAACGAATGAAAAATTAGAAAACAATGTGAAATATCTCATTGGAAAAAACAACTGACCTGGAAAATAGATCCAGGAGAGAGAATTTAAAAATTATTGGACTATCTGAAAGACATGATCAAAAAAAGAGCCTAGACATCATCTTTCAAGAAATGATCAAGGAAAACTGCCCTGATATTTTAGAACCAGAGGGCAAAATAGAAATTGAAAGAATCCACCTATCTCCTCCTGAAAGAGATCCCCAAAGGAAAACTCCTAGGAATATTGTAGCCAAATTCCAGAGTTCTCAGGTCAAGGAGAAAATATTATAAGCAGCCAGAAAGAAACAATTCAAGTATTGTGGAAACACAATCAGGATAACACAAGATTTAGCTGCTTCTACATTAAGGGACCACAGGGTATGGAATATAATATTCTGGAGGGCAAAGGAGATAGGATTACAACCAAGAATCACCTACCCAGCAAAACTGAGTATAATCCTTCAGGGCAAAAAATGATCATTCAGTGAAATGGAGGACTTTCAAGCATTCTTGATGAAAAGACCAGAGCTGAATAGAAAATTTGACTTTGCAATACAAGACTCAAGTGGCACATGAAGAGGTAAACAGGAAAGAGAAATCATAAGAGACTTATTATGGTTGAACTGTTTACATTCCTGCATGGAAAGATGATATTTGTAAGTCATGAGACCTTTGTCAGTATTAGGGTAGTCGGAGGGAAAAAATTATATGTATGTATGTATAGATAGATAGATAGATAGATAGATAGATAGATAGATAGATAGATAGATAGATAGATAGAGGGCACAGGGTGAGTTGAAGACGAAGGGGTCATATCTGGAGAATAAAATTAGGGGGTGAGAGAGGTTTATACTAGAAGAAGGAGAAATGGGAAAGGTAGAATGCGGTAAATTATCTCACAAAAAAAACAGAAAAGAAAAGGCTCTTACAGTGGAGGGGAACCGGAGGAAGGTGAGAGGGAGTGAATGAATCTTATTCTCATAGGATTTGACTTAAGGAGGGTATAACATACACACTCAATTGGGTATGGAAATCTGTCTTACCCTACAGGAAAATAAGAGGGGAAGGGTACAAGAGAGTAGGGGGATGATAGAGAGGAGAGCAGATTGGGAAAGGGGTAATCAGAAGCAAATACTTCTGAGGAGGGACAGGGTCAAAAGAAAGAATAGAATAAATGGGGGGGCGGGATAGGAGTAAGGGAAATAGAGTTACTTTTTCACAGCATGTCTACTATGGAAATGTTTTGCATAACTGCACACGTATAGCCTATATTGAGTTGCTTGCCTTTTCAATGAGGGTGGGTGGGGAGAGAGGAAGGGAGAAAATTTGGAACCCAAAGTTTTAAAAACACATGTTTAAAAAAAATATTTTCACATGCAACTGGGAAATAAGAAATATAGAAAATGGGGTACAGAAATCTATCTTTCCCTACAGGAAAATAGAAGGGGAGGGGGGAGAGATAGCAGGGAAAGCAGACTAGGGGAAGGGGTATTCAGAATGCATGCCATCTTGGGATGGGAGGAGGGGCGAGATGGGGTGAAAATTTGGAACTCAAAATCTTGTGGAAGTAAATGTTGAAAACTAAAAAGAAAAAAAAGAAAAAAGAAAAAAAGAACATAAAAAAAAAGCATGAAGAGAAGTCTGCACAAAGTCACAGAGGTGGAATATGGAAGATTAAATTCTAGAAATAGCAGATAGGCCATTGGGGGAAAAAAAGTAGAGTGCCAGCAGGGAATAATATGAAAGAAATCTGAAAAGATAGAATTGAAACAGATTGTGAAACATATCCAATAGCAGAGTGAGGTCTGTTTTTCATCCTAGAACAGGGCTTCTTAAACATTTTCCACTTGTGACCCCTTTTTATGTTTCAGCATATGCTGGGGTTGCATGGCCTCAGGGCATGGGCAGTGCAAAGTGCCCATGCTTTATGTTCAGAACCAAGGCTGCAATGAAGTCCTGCATGATGCAACATGGGCAAGTACTGCCAGAAACACCTCAAATTCATTTTTGGTCATTGCACATTCAGAAACCTTTTACTGTTGTCAAATTTTTCACAACCCCATATGTGGTCACAACCCACAGTTTAAGAAGTGTTGCCCTAGAGGATTTCTGAGAGCAGGGAGTGTAATGTGATTGTGGTCAATTGGTGCTTTAGGAAGACTATTTTGGCAGCTCTGTGAAAGATAGATTGGACAGGAGAGAAACTGGAAGAAGAGAATATCATGCCCTGGGGAGTTGAGGAACTTAGCTTTTGGAAGGCCCACCCTAGAACAAGGTTGTCCTGATTGTTGAATGCTGCAGGCTAACATAGGCCACTCGCTACATCCAGCCAGCTCCAGACCATACTTCGCATCCATGCATCCTTCTTGATATCTGCTCTTCTTCAACCTCTAGCCCTTGGCCTCTGCTTTCCACCTCTTGCTACAGAAACCAAGATAAAACTATTACTGATGCTTCTCGTATGCTAATCAACTCTCCACTGGCTACACTCACTATTCCTATGACTTCCCAGACCAAAACACTCTTCTAAGTCCACCGTCCTCCTAAATATGTCTTTTCTTCCTTTTGAAAATAAGCTTCTTGAGCACACAGCATATCTCACTTTTGTATTTATTTCCCAACTTTTTCAGTGTAATGCTTGGTACAAACAAGTACTTAATAAATATTTTTTATTCATTCACTCATTCATTCAATGTTTCATTGCAATAGTCTGGACAAGAGATAAGGAAATACTGTCTGTGAGTGGAGAGGAGTTGACAGATTCAAAACTTGTTATGGAAGCAATATCATTAAGACTTGGAAACTAATGAAATATGGGAGTAAGAAGGAGAAGGAAGAGTTTAGGATGACTGATTCTCATGAGTTAAAGAAAATTTGCTTTGAAATAGTTCAGATTTAATCACTGGTGCTATTCTCTCCAACAGGTGACAATATTAGATATACTGATAAGCCCTAGATCATTATTATTAAAGAAGCAAACCATAACCCTTCAAACAGGGGTGATGGGTAATACTCTGTTCAAGTGAACCTGTACTTACTCTGTAACCTCAATTTTGCAGTTTCCCTTTCTTGTGTCTCTAATCGCTAGAGTGAAATGAGTCCCAGAGGCCTACAAATAAGTATGAAAATGTACCAGTCCACAATGCTTCCTTTTTAAGCCATCCACCTTTCACTATGATACATACAATTTTTAAAAATAAGTTTAATTGCCATCTTTTCTACTCACCTGGCAGGAAATGTTACTCATTTGGGCTAGTTGCCATTGTAAAAGAAATTTTTTTGTTTGTTTTTAAGAATCTGGAGCTTATTAGAGTTAGCATGGATGAGTCAATGGTCATCCAGATTTGCAGTTCTCAAATTTGGGGTCTCAGGGCCCCTTTACACTCTTACAAATTACTGAGGACCTTCCAAAGAGCTTTAGTTTATGTGGGGTGTATTATGTGGGGTAAATATATGAAATTTGCCATATTAGAATTTAAAATATTGTGAAAATAGTTCTGACTCTGGGGATCCCCAGGGTCCCTGGACCAGATTTTGAGAATTGCTGATCTGTTCTATTCTCTGTGCAATGTAGGAATCCTCTGTGCACCATCCATGACAAAGGCCATCCAGTCACTCTTAGAATGCCTCTGTGACTGTGATTATTCAGCGTTCAGTCATGTCCAATTCTTTGTGACCCTGTAGGGGTTTTCTTGGCAAAGATACTGGAGTGGTTTGCCATTTCCTTCTCCAGTGGATTAAGGCAAGCAGAGGTTAAGTGACTTGTCCAGGGTCACACAGCTAATAACTGTCTGAGGCTAGATTTGAACTCAGATCTTCCTGACTTCGGGCCCAGTGCTCTGTCCACTGAACCACTTCTAGCAATGGCCAAAAGGCTAGCATCTACAGCAGGCCATTCTAGTTCTAGACAAATCTCATGGTTAGGATGTTTTTTTTCTTATACACTATTCAACACCTGGAATATCAGGTTCAATTCCTTTTTTTTTTTTTTTTTTAGCTAGGCAATGGGGTTAAGTGACTTGCCCAGGGTCACACAGCTAGTAAGTGTTTATGTGTCTGAGGCTGGATTTGAACTCAGGTCCTCCTGACTCCAGGGCCAGTGCTCTATCCACTGCACTACCTAGCTGCCCTAAGGTTCAGTTCCAACAGCTATACTAAGAGAGATTTTGACAGCATTGCAACTGTGTTCCCCACAGACAGCCAGGTGGCACAGTAACTAGAACATTGGGCCTAGAGTTAGGAAGACCCGAGTTCAAATCCAGTCTCAGACATTTACTGGCTGGACAAGTCACTTAATTTCTGTTTCAACTTCTTTCACTGTAAACCTGGGGATAATAATAGCATCTACTTCCCAGGGTTGCTGCGAGGATCAAATAAAGTAATATTTATAAAATGCTTAAGACAATGCCTGGCACAGAGTAGGTGCTTTATAAGTGTTTGTTCCCTTCTCTCCCATAGTATACAAAATTATGGCAATGCTAAATATGCCCATTTTTTTTTCTTTGAGTATCAAACACTGGGACTAATATCTTCCTACTATTTAACTCAAATGTAATTTGTATCGATACTTTTGCCCCTAAAATGCATGTAATGCTTTCTAAGGGTATCTTTGTGACTTTGAGCATTTTTCAATCAAATAAAAAATCTCCTTTGTTCTGGTTAAAATGTAAAACCAATTTTGTTTGCAATGCAGCCGTTTCAGGCCCTCGTCACAATGTGTCTTTCAGGCTCTGCGGTTATCCACCCTTCTACGACGAAAATGACTCCAAACTCTTTGAGCAGATCCTCAAGGCAGAATATGAATTTGACTCCCCCTATTGGGATGACATCTCAGATTCTGGTAGGTAGTCAACCTTCCTGAGGGGGCAGCACCCGTGATCCCCCAGACCAGCCACCTGTTGCCATTAGGGCCCTATCATTTCTAAGGTTCTCATGAAAGTCCCTGTGTACCATGCATGCCTGAAATCTCCAGGAGAGTCCTGAGAAAAACTGAGGGTAGACTTGGCCGGCGTTGCTTACACTGAAGTCAACATCACAGAGGATGTACTGATCTAGAGTTTCTAAGAGGGAAACACCCCCCCTCATGAAATGCCTTAGATAAAGTAACCAAATGTCCTAAAGATTTAAGTTGTCCCTTTTCCAAGAATTCCAGCGATAGTGGGGAGTTTACTCGCCCCTGCTTCAGTGACAAATAGCAGAACTTATTCAGTTCATATGTTGGCATCCAATCAACACGCATTTATTGAGTGCCAACTGTATGTAAGGCCCCAAGCTAATTTTCATCCAGGGTCCATGGGCAGTATTCCCAATGAAGATGAAGAAGAAAACTCTAAAACTAGGCACCGTCCTCTGGGCACAGTCTCTGGCACACGGTAAATGCTTAATCAATGTTTTACCTAAAAAGAAAGGGTTATACTTGACGGTCTCTGAGGTTTCTCCAAGCTTTAGATCTATGATTCCACATTATTTCTAGAAAATTCATCACTCATTCGCTAGGATGAAAAAAGACAGATTAAATCTGGGCAAGAAAAAATAATTAGGCCATTTGAAATGTTACATGAAACAATTTTAAAACTGATTTTACCTTTTAAAAAAAGTAGCAGGCTTAGCATTTATAAGGGACTCACATCTTTGCTCAAAAGCAGCAGGCAGCCAGGACAGCACCAGGTTTTCCGACTTTCACTATTTCGTTGTTGTTCAGTCATTTTTTCAGTCATGTCCGACTCTTAGTGACCCCATTTAGGGGTTTCTTGGCAAAGATCTTAGAGTGCTTTGCCATTTCCTTCTCGAGCTCCTTTTACAGATGAGGACGCTGAGGTAAATAGGGTTAAGTGACTTGCCCAGGGTCACACAGCTAGTAAGTGTCTGAGGCCAGATTTAAAGTTAGGAGGAGTTTTGCTGTGCAATGGTTTAACTCAAATGCTTGATGCCTCATTATTTATTCTCTGTATCAAAAAAAGAGGTTGGTCAGCAAACTATGGCCTGGGGGCCAAATCTGGTCTGCCTGTACAGCCCACAAACCCAAAAGTGTTACCCCTGATTTAAAATAAAGGGTGGGGGCACATCACCAAACAGCTTTTTGTAATGTTTATTATAAAGCATGAAGTCTATGGTATGATAGACACCTATTAACTTTATCCATCCCACTGAAGTTTAGCAAGCTGATTTCCGGACAAAGGACTATTTCTGCAATTCTCTACCTTGAATCAGAGACAGTGCAGTCTTGTGTAGAGAAGATTAGGTTCCAGAAGCAAAGGAATATGGCTCCTAGTCTTTGTTTTGCCATTGACTCAGTGGATGACCTCTCTGATGTCCTATTTCATAGTTGCCCCTTTCTAAGATGCCAGTACTGTACTATTTGCAGTTAGTGCCAAGTGTGTGTTAGATTTTGGAAAGGTTTGATCAAATGTGTTTGACACCATAAACAATAGGATCCCTGTGCGTGGCAGCATCATATAGCCATGCTTTAAGGTGCAACTCTGATTCACTATCTTGTTTTCTTTTTTTAACAGCTAAAGATTTCATTCGGAATTTGATGGAGAAAGATCCCAATAAAAGATATACATGTGAGCAGGCAGCTCGGCACCCCTGGTAAGAAAAATCACACAGCATGAGATAATGATTGTCAAATTCCTTTTCACTACAGTAGTAACTGGGAGATCTCAATTATGAAACCCATAAGTTATCATCACACCTCATTATAACCAAGGTTTTTAGTCTTCCTAAGTCAAATCTTGGCTTCCTTTTTTCCCCCCTCTACCCTCTTCTATAGGTGTTAATAAGGAGCTAATCGGCCAAAAAGCAGCAAAAGAAGCAATATCTACTCCTTGGACAGTCAGTCACTTAGCATTAGCTCGCATTCAAAAAGTACTTTCCTTACAACAGCCCTATGAGGTTGATAGTTTATCACTGTTCCTATTTTGCAGATGTGAAAACTGAGGCTGAGAAAGGCAAGTGACTTGCTCATAACCACACAGCTAGTGTCAGAGCTGGCACTTAAATCTATCTTCCAACTCCCCAACAAAAGAGGACTGTATAGGCACATGTTCCCTGACTTAACTAACCCTGATATATGAAAATCTAATGAAATAAGAATAGATTTTTTTTTAAAGGAGATTGTTATTCACTGGGCAAAAAGGATTTTTTTTACTCTGTGATAAGTTACCTTAGGATTCTTTAAATAGCAATGCAAATAGCATATTTAATATGGGATTAGGTTTATAAAAATCTAAATGACATACAGTTTTAGAGCACATCTCTCCTATAAAGAGGAATTCCCTTTTAATAAGATATTCATTACCTATATTGATAGGCTGTGGCAATTCTACCAAGACTGAAAGGTTTCAGATATGGACCAGGTGGCACACTGTTCCTGTTTTCTGAGGGCCAATCTAGCTAAGTATAGAAACTCGTCACCAGTAGGTTGGTCAATAGGTCATGAATTCTTTGACGCTGGTGACTTAAGGGAAAAAAAGAAAAGCAAAAAAGTGTCCTCTACTTCTATTTGTCCATCTTGCATATTGACGGTGCTAGAAGGGCAGAAAAGGAAGTAGAGGGCTCAAATTAATTTTAAATCATCCTTGAACATTAACTGTTGAAACTTAATTCCTTTTTCAAGAATCAGTGACTCCTTCAGTACTATGGGAAGAATTTAACCATATCAATTTTTTTTTGCCATAAATGAAACTAAAAAATATAAAGAATTCATAGTTAAATGGAAGGAAGTCTTACAAGTTCTCCTCGGAGAGGTAAATGAAGGAGTTGGTGGAGTTGTTTCTATCATGTGCCCCAAAGCAATAAAAAATATCAATTAATGGATTGCTTAATCATCTCACTGTACAGTGCTAATGATAGGCAAAAGCAAAAAGATCATCGTGGAAATAGTTGCAACTTATGTGCTAGGATCTTTTGTAGTGAAAACTGCAGAACATCTACAAAGAACGTAACTCCAAACCAAGTCAATGTATACTTTGATGCTTCATGACTTGGTGTACGAAAGTAAACACTGAGCAGGATGGCAAAAAAAATGCTTGGAAAATGTGGTGTAGAATTAAGAAATGAACCAGGCATGGTGGTGCCAACTGTAAATCCCTGGTACTGGGAAGGCTGAAGCTGATGGACCTCTTAAACTTGGGAGACTTGAGCTTCAATGGGCTAAGTCAATCAAGTGTCCTGGTGTACTTTTAGTTGGAAGATCATGGACATGGTGAAGAATCAATTAAAAAAGCAGAACTGATTATATTTTACTAAATAGGAAATAACCAATACCTGACATAACTCATTTCAAAATCAAATGGTTGTAATCAGTCGTATTTATTGATTAGAGCAGAAGCAAAAAAAAAATGCTGAAAAATTGGAAGACAGGAAAAAGAGAAGATAATGCATGAAATTATAATAGCTCTAACCTAAACTACAGGAAAAAACCACTAACAGAAAAAAAGGAAAACCAATAAAAGACGTAATTATTTCTAAGACAAGTTGAAATGATCTAAAATATTTGTCACAACAAAAAAGCCAAATAAGTCCCCAGACTTCTTCAACTAGCAAACACTTGATTTTTCTGCCGCATGGAAAGACATGGTAGCCAAAGGCAGCACTACCTTAACAATACATGATCATTTCCAAATTGATTACAGAGATGAAAGAGAGAATATAATGAACAGTATTGATTAATAAGATTAGCTAAAAACAGTGAAGGGGAAAATAAGCATACAGATAACTTAGCATGTCACCCAGTTAACCCAAGTCATCCCAAAAGCATTTCGAGATGAAACAAAAAGGACAACAAATGGAAACAAAACAGAACAGATTGCCATCATTTCTATGTAATCTATTCTCATCATCAATGATGTTGGAACCACTGCTTTTAGACTCAGCACCCAATTGCCATAGGAGGAAGTGAAATTGGCACTTAAAGAAGATGGTAGTCAAGAGGAGTGGCTGCACCTGAACAAGTACATGCAGAAGAAATCCATTCTAAAACAACACAATTTTGAAAGGTACTGACTAAGAAATTTTCAAGATCTCAAAGTAGGGAAGACACCAAAAGAATAAAGAAAAATACATATGGCAACATATACCAAAATGGCATCAGCAACTACTGATCCTGATTTCTCATCTCTATAAAGTCTTTCTTTTTAAGTTTGAAAATTAGCTTTTTTTATTTACAATTATACCTTATTTATTTTGACATTCATTTTTAAAAATTTTGAGTTCCAAATTCCCTCCATTCCTTTATCCTCTCTCCCACCCATCAAGAAGGCAAGTAATATGATTCTATAAAGTCTTTATGAGAATTGTCTGTACATTCTTGTTGAAACCATGCTTTCACAAATGATGCTCTGTAGCACGACATATCTTCATTTACATAGTCCACAGAATCTCAGAATTGGAAGAGATCTCAGGGTCTATCTGGTCCAAACTATACTTCAGGAAGAATCTTGTCTACCATTGGAAGACTTTTGAGGAGGAACCCGCTACCTTTCCAGTTTCCTAGCCTCTTTGGTCAGCCATTCTGTCATCATCCAGGAACCCTTTCCAACCTCCTGCAATGCCATAGAAGTTGCCTTGCTCCTAGATACACCATTTTCCATCTCCCTGCCTTCTGGCTGCGCACTATTGCCCATTATCCTGGAACAACTCCACCCCAAGCCTGAATCCCTGCTGACGATGACAAGCTACCTGAATTCATTACCCAATGATTATCATACTCCCACCTAGTCAAACCTTCCCTATCACAGTGGCTCTGAACCCCTAGCTGTCATTATTCAAGCCCTGTTTCTATCCCCTATTGACTTCCTCCCTCATTCCTGTTCCCCCTCTACCCAACCCCTCATAAATCCCACTGTGTTCCTTCCATTCCTTTCACTGTGTTCTCTGGAATACCTGCACCATAGGCAATAAACTAGCTTTCCTATTCATATTCCTTTGTTACTCCTTCCATTTTCTGGAACTCACTAAGACCTGACTTCCTTCTAACAACTCAGCTTCCCCGGATAGTCTTTCCAGCACTGGCTACATTTTCCCTCATACTCCACAGATACTGGGAAAACAAGGGAGCTCATGATGTGTGACCTCACTCTTCTTAGTAAATTAAGAAATGAAGTCACGTTCTAAGGTTGAAGGAATTAAGAGCAGAATTAGGACCTCAAGGAGGTATGGCACAACTAGAGTGGAGAGCAAGACAGGGACTTAAGCAAAACGCATCCATGAAGCCCCATTTGACGTTAGATAGCATGGATTTGTATAAGACCTAGTCAGCATGCTCTAAAAAACCAACCAAATGAAACCTATTACTAGTGATTAAGAGTGGATAAGACAGGGGCAGCTAGGTGGCGCAGGGGGATAGAGCACCAGCCCTGAAGTCAGAAGGTCCTGAGTTCAAATTCAGGCCCAGATCAGACACTTGACACTTAGTAGCTATGTGACCCTGGGCAAGTCACTTAACCCCAATTGCCTCACCAAAAAGCAAATAAACAAAATATTTTTTAAAAAAAAGAGTGGGGAAGACAGAGAGAAAACATCACCCAGTGTTGGGATGCATAGAGCGGAACAGCCAAGCGATCACAGGGACAAGAGATTGAAGAGCTTCTCATCTCTCATTCTACTCTGGCTTATTCACAGGCCTCTGCTCTTTTGTAGGCTCTTGCACAAAGTAAGAAGAAATCAAAGCAGTCATTCCATATAGCTTTTTAAAGCTTCCTCTCAACAGAATTCTCCCTCATGACTCAGAATATAAGGGTATTAAATGGCTTTAAATGAAGCACTAGTCAATATTTCCTTAATTATGAGCTATTAGGAATTCCCAGCTCTGCCACTAACTAACTACATGACCTTGGCAAGCCACTTACTATCTCTGACCCTCAACTTCCCCATATGTAAAATGAGGATAATTATGCTTTCACTATGTACCTCATAGGGTTGTAAGAAAAACGCTTTGCAAGCCACAACATTTTACATGAATGAGAAAAGGGAAAACAGGAAGATGTTGGAGGCTAATGAGGAAGGTGGGTTGGAGGAAGACCAGAAAAGACTTGAGAAGCAGGAAGCACAAAGTCCACCAGTTATGTTAAAACATCAAAATGTCATAAAGAAATAATATCTACAAACTGTAAGACCAGAGGTTAAAGCTAAAACATCTGTGAGGGCTTATGTCCAACTTGAAATGCAAGGACATACGCTCACATATTGAAATAGAATGCTACTAAAGCCAAGGTCCACGTGGAAACACTTATAAAGGTGACAAATGACAATAAATCTGAAATGTATCTATAAAACTATCTTGAGAAGTTGGTTCTAAACTGCCTCTAGCTCAATCTGATGCTGAATTCTTAAGCATATACTAGCTTAGTTTGAGGGCAGCTGGTTGACTCAGAAGATAGAGTGCTGGTCCTGGAATCAGAAAGACTCATCTTCCTGAGTTAAAAATATGACCTCAGACATTTATTAGCTATGTGACCCTGGGCAAGTCACTTAACCCTATTGGCCTTAGTTTCCTCATCTGTAAAATGAGCTGGAAAAGAAAATGGCAAACCATTCTAGTATCTTTGCCAAAAACAAATAAATAAACCCCTAAATGGAGTCACAGTCAG